TCCTCCTCCTCCTCCTCTCCATGTTCAGTGTATTGACAAGGAAGTGTTCAAGCTATGAGAACCCCATCTCTCACTAGCCAGTGTTAAGAGAAAGGAGCCAAGAAGATGGATAATAACAACAGGAACTAGTACATTATCAATAACCAAAAGCTGTTCCAATGCAGGAGGAAGATTGAACCTAAGAGCATGGCCAAGAGGATCAAGATCCCTCCCACCATTGTGTGCCCCACATCAACCATTCAGCACAATCTTATTTTAGCTACTGCCTGATTGTTATCCTTTTTATTTTTCCTTTAGATTTGATAGCATATGCACTGGAAGGCCAGAATACAGTTTTTACAGTAAATCTAAATAAATAAAATAAATCTTTGGAGCAGACAACCTGCAGCTAAAGAGTTACCAATGTCCTGCATTCTCTAAAAAAATAAACAAGCCTATGATATTTATTTTATTGCTTCTTTTCCTTTAAAATTTAACAGAGGAAATTCAGCCAAACATATCACTATGTTTACTTTAAGCTTCTAGAAAGAAAGATTTTCAACTTATTTTAAAGTTAAGATAATTTCAAATGCATAGTCAACCAGGAAGAATCATTGACTTTTCCGTTACAATCATATAGTTAAAGTGAATAAACTGAGTTGAGTGTTTTCCATTTCTTCACATACATTTTCTTCCCTACACAGAGTATACATTTGCTCATTAGAAATGAGTACAGCATTGTATATTATAATTTACTAGCTGATTCTGGAACCAAATTGTAACACCATTTCCATAACAGAGAAATTCTTATCATAAAACATACGGTATGTATTCAAGTTCTAGGAATGTATAACTAAATTTTGCAGACATTCATGTTTTCTTATGCAGAATCACAATATAATTATTAAATACACTCCCTTTCTTTCTCAGTACTGGGTTGGATCCTGACTAATCATGCTTGAAGTATCCCAGTGAAATCACTGGGTCTATGATCCAATTTCTGTAGCTTTCCTCTACTCTCATCTGAATTTTTTCATATAATGTTATAATCTTCTGAGTGCCTTGCATCCCTCTGGCCAAAAAGATTTAATTGATTAGAAGGCCAAAGTCTTCTCTGTAGGAGAATCCTATTTGTGGCTACATCTCTGTTCAGATTCTGGTGAGCAATAAGAACATCCTTACTTTCTACTAACTGCTTCCAAAGGAATGACCATACTAGTCTTTTTTAGCAAAAATATTTCTAGTGGTACATTAAGCATTAACTGTGTTTTTGCATTAGCTAGGGTTCTCCTACTAAGAACTGCAGGACTGCTAGCCACGGTACTGAATTCAAGTCAAGAATCATTTAGTACTGTCCAAGGTCCTGAGCCTGGTCTGTTCTTGATCTGTACCAGCCGGCTGCCTTACAATGACGTTTATCCTCTTATCTGAGCTATTGCTGTTCTGTGACAATGCCTACTGTAAATGGAATCAGAATTGTCATCTTACATCATTTTAAGCACAACTCAGTGTTAGCTTGCATGTTTATGACGAGTCATCAAGTGCTGAGAAATCATATAATGATAATCTTACCATCTCCATTACTGACTCCACCATTCTGTTCACTGCTTGCAATCGGATCTGTAGCCAGACTTGTGACAGAGTGACTAAATGCCTCTTTATCTGAAGGCTGCAAAACAAAATGTGGATTTAAATGAACTGGTCAGGATATGAATATCCATTTTATTAACTTCCATTTTATGATTGATGGTAGGTAGATAGGTTAGTAGATGATATGTTAACATCAGAGTCTAGCAGTGAGAATTGCAAGAAGTCAAACATCTATGGAAGATCCCTAGATGGTCTGAATCTCAGGACTGTTTCTCTTGTCTCCCTAAAAGAAAAAGTCAGCCATCCTCACTATAACCAGTACTTAAGGCAAAAAATGAAAGCATGTAAGAGCAAGGGCCTTCTAAACTGAATATGCTGTACTGCTAATCTGTGTTTAAGACAGGGTTTCCCAAATGGTGAGATGTACCTCCCTTGGAGTTTCATTGCATTGTTTACATTGTTCATTTGTGTTCATTTTAATGTTTGGATTTTAGGGGACATGTATATATTAAGATTACACTAAAGGGAGGTGTGATTGCAAAAGGTTTAGGAACCCCTGATTTAAGAGCTCAGCAACTTCACTGTATGCACTCGTGTGCATATATTCTTGTTGTGAAATCTTCATGACTATAAATTTATGGTTTCCTTTCTTGGTCTTGTAATATCATAGACCTTAGGTGATTAATTAACAGCCCAGGTATGGCACTGGGATTTAAAATCCTGATCACCTTATAGGTATGGTGTATCTCTCCTATTCAATATTATCAGATAGGAGTAGCAGAATATATCCCACAGAAGATATATAAAGTCCATATGTGACAGAGGCCATTCATGTTATAATGCATTTGTGATGAGGAATATAATTCATTCCTCTGGGGCTGAGTTTGTGTAGTTTTTAGGTCAGCCATACAAAGAAGCAGAATAATGGCTTTAACTTATATTTTATTACTTATATTGAATCGTTATAAATGTTCCTATAATTATAGATAGTCTACCTATTATCCTATTATTATAGGAAAAAAGGGTCACATTTCCTGATTAGACTATATTTTAATACAACTGACTGGATGTTAGTGTTATATCATAGAGTAAACCACCAATTCATATCCACAAATCCAAATAACTAAAGGCTATTGTAGTTAAATATGATACGTTAAGCATCATCATTAATATTACTATGCACCTGTATCCTGCAATGAGCAATGAAAAGTTTCAGGGATACAGCGTTCACCAGAGTTCAGTTTCTTTTGGAAGGCAGTCACAAGTGGCTTATTTGTTTTTGCTTATAACTATTAAAGTTGAATGCTATATTTACTGACAAATATTTTCCTCCCCATCACTTTTCTTAGAGGGAACCAACAATAGCACAGTATTCTTCCAGAGAGCAATTTAGCCTCTCTGTCTCCCTTTCACTTTGTAATAGTTGTTTCTTCACTGAAGTCAATGAGGCTTAGTGGTGCGAACTTAACAAATACTCTAGGGAGCACTCTTGAGCTAAAAAGAGCTTCATGGTTTTTTCTCTGTTATTTTTCCTTTCTGTAGAGTTGGGCTGAATGGAAGGAGTCTTGGCAATACTGTACATCGAAACTCTTCAATGTACAAGGGTAAAGATGGCAGTGTGTTCAGGCAAGCCTATCGCTAATATGTTAATGGACTCAGAAAAGCCCCCCCCCCCCACGATCTATAACAGTATTCTTGAGTACATTCCAAAGAAAGAGTCTTGTAAAAAATGTATCTCTTAAGATTTTACAGTTTTTGTAAGTTTTATGTGTAGATGTATACAGTGAGATGGGTGGTGTATAAATTTGATGAATGAATGAATGAATGAATGAATGAATGTTCTTATATAACATTTCAAGATTTTTCTTTCTTTCTTTTTTAGTTTTGTATATATGTCTCTCTCTGACCAGATATCAAAATCAAAATCTGCTAACCAGATATTAAAATCAAAATTAGAATCATTTAAAAATCTGTTTTCAGCATATGTATTTTCATGGTTTTTTTTAAAAAAAAACTGATACAAAGGGCAGTCCTCTTAAGTCAGCAGGACATGCATTCCTGGGCCTGAAAAGGTTACAGAGGAGGAATGATCATTAAGTCAAAAGTGCATTTAAAAATACTAAGCATACTATTGAACTTTTGAAGACAACGTTTTAATGAAAATTCCTTAGATCAAGAGTATGCAACAGTACTCTTATTTTATATTGTTTATTACATATACATGTTTTGATCAGAAAATCACAAACTGGCGTCATAAGTGGGTATGCTACAGGATAAAAATAACTACCTGTGCTCAGCTTGAGTAGGTAGTCTAGGTAGTTTTTTATCTATAAAATGAAGCAACTGTCTTTTATCAATATTTTTATAAGAAGTACGTAAATGCATTCTTAGCATTCAGATTCCTGTCTCATGTGCTTGTACACACACACACACACACATATTAAATAATGCACTAGTTCTACAGTTCAGCCTTTCTCCTTCATTACAGACTTGAAACTATACAAAAGCATTTTGATAGTTATTTTTATTAGGGTTTTTTTTTTACCACATTCATCAGATTTTCATGGTCCCCATTTTGCTGCTCAGGTCTCTTCTCCCTTTAATGCAAATCAGATTTAGTTATATTGTTACAATATCCATAATCAGTTTCAACAAATGACATTTATATAAGTTATGGCTAATTCTGACTCCATTCCAACTATATTTTTGGTTAAGATCAATTAAGCATCAATAGTCTCATTGTCTTCAAGAGGACTGAACATGACTAATTTTAGTCTAATTGAGGCTGTTAAGGTATTTAATCCTGTAGACTAAAAATATGGATACAGGAGTCAAACACCTAAGTCCAGCAGCTATATACCTATGGTTGGAAGGACTTTTGCCCTAAGTCTATGGTTTCTGATAGGCTTATTAGTGTATTTCAATTTTCAATTCTGTATTGCTGTTCTTTCAAGTATTCCACATGAGAAGAATACAGTTCAAGCTGAAGCTCTTTTCCGCTCTTTTTTAGGCTGGTGTTTTGAATGGTGAATAGAAATTTAAAAACCAAAATAAGCATCCTCCAGTTACACTTATTTGGGGCAGTATAAACTTCTATACCCTTTGAGAGCAAAAACCAATCTTTTGTTTTTTTGTTGATTTAGAATTTTTAGGCCAGCTTGACACCTGCAAAAATATCTCCATTTCTTAAATTTCATAGGAAATTTTATTAATTTTCTTCTAACATGAGACAATGGTGAACTTTCTCGTTCTGAAGATGTAGATGATATACACAGAGCAACTAATGTTTTGAACCTGAGCTTTTTGGCTACTGCCAAAAGGAAGTTCTACAATCTGAAAATATTAACAGTACTCATATAATTTTATAAGTAGGACACTTCTTTAATCAGCTTCTAAGAAAGCACATGTCAAAGTGAACACATTAATCTCTCTGCTGCCAAAGAATCTTTGGTGTTGTTTTGCTTTAGTTTTGGTGGAAACGTATTACACAATCTTTGCCAAAAGTCTTTTGGAATTCTTGATCAGATTTTAGAAAAGATAACAGCCAAATAAAAATGCTAAACATTGTTTCAAATTATCCATTGCTCTTGCTGTTTTCTATGTGCTTAAATATTTTATTAACTCACGAAAAGTAAGATGCCCCCAATGCTTTTAAAATAACAGTATTCAACATAATCAGCATCATATCTGAGTTTTGGAGAAAAATTGTGACTGACTTACCTCTTTACTAAATTTAGTGGTAAATCGCTCATTAGTTATTGCTCTACTTCTAAAAATGTGACTCATTATGCTATGTATTATGCTATTTAAATTCCACGATTCTGTCCATGCTGTACACAATATGATTGCAATCTGAAGTTACTAATTTGCTCCCTGAAGGTTTCCTGCCAACATATCTCTTTTCAAATGTCATCACTGATATAATCAACAGCATCTATGCAACTATTCTAGGAAATACTACATTTAGTTTAATCACATTTCTGGGCAACTACTTGCTATACAAATATTCTAAAGATCATATCCCAGGCAACTACATGCTAAATTATTGAAGTATGATGGTCAGGTAATGTCTAGCAATAGAATTTGCATAGCTTGGTAGATACAATATACCTAGTAGACAGCTTTTATAATATGTTCTTTATTATCCTCCTCTTGGAAATATCTTTCATGTCAAGCTCACAACAGGATTAAACAATAAATCACAGTTCTTCAAGCTCATGGCTTGGCAGAAGACTCTCAGACACTACATAAATTAAAACCTGTATTGTAGACAAGAATGAAGCCTGAAATTTGACTGTTGATTGTCTGTTGCATTGCTAGAAAATCTTTTTCTCTGTGTGTGCATACGTGTGTCCAGAATTAAAATTCTAGGCTTTTTCCTCACGCCTTTCTGTGAAGAGATATTTGGCTGGTCTCTTGATGGCCTTGACTGGTAGCTGAGATATATTTTTATTCCCTCTAGCTTGGGAACTGCTACGTACTGCTTCACGTTTCAAACTTTAGGCAATGAGGTGCCAAAGAGGAAAAAAGTCTGGAAAATCACAAGCTTTGGAAAGTTTTTTTCCCCTTTTTTCAGGAATATTTAACTCAAAACCAATATAATTTCTTTAACAAAAGTTTTCTTTATATTTTATATGGATAAGGAACTTAAAGGTAAGAGCAAAACTGTTATTTTAAGATTTGTCATGCTTACTGACAAGATGCAACATTAGTTAGAGCACAGCTTGATTAAGCTCTAGGCCAGTGTTTCTCAACCTCAGCAACTTTAAGTGGTGTGGACTTCAACTCCCAGAATTCCATATCTGGCTGGGGAATTCTGGGAGCTGAAGTCCACACAGCTTAAAGTTGTTGAGGTTGAGAAACACTGCTTTAGGCTCAAACTTGGCTTGGCATGGCTAAATAAGCTATACTGCACGCTAGGATGAAATCACTTCTCACAGTGAATTACCCTCTGTCAACATGAAGGTACAGTCCCTGTGATTTAATTATATATTTTTCCTGCTTTTCTCAAGGCTTAATGGATTTTATGCCTTGTGCTTTGAGGACAGGTGATTGTCGGTTGCTGATATCTTTGCCCTGGGAAATTCTGGCTCTCAGCTCCAGCAGGACTGATCTAGGCAAACCAAGTTTTGTTTGTTCAACTAATCAGCAAACTATAGTGGCATATAATTAATTAATGTTGCATGCTGATCTTAAGTAAATGGAGATCAATAAGAACTGTTTTCAATTACATTGAAATTAAAAGTAATGATTAAAACTGAATTTTGTTTCAAGCATTTGTAAATGAAAATATCACTTTCAGTATTAAGCCAATTTTAAAATTTCAACACTGAACAATATTTAGTTCCAGAAATGAAGTTATTTTTAATACAATGATAATTAAATAACTGTTATTTCTTAATAGTACTAATGAAATTAGCCTGAAATATATATCAAGATTTGCAAAGTTTCATTCTGATTGGCTGTTACTGGACTTTTAAACATGGAGACATTTTTATAATGTACAGTAATATGGGAAATGATGGTGCATCTTGAGATGATAAAATAGAGGATACTACTTCAGACTGCAAGTGAAGAACTGGTATTTTTAACACTTCCATCCCTACCACTAAAAATTAAACACAGCAATATTTTTTCTTCCTTGTGGGATAGCTTGTTTTGACTTTCAGGTTACTGTTAAGATGGGAAAGTGTTAAAAAATGTCAGTCACATCCTAAAACCTCAAGTAATATATCTACTTCAACCTCTTCAAAATTCTTTCACCTGATGTTGCTGCATATATGGATCATATTAGCTTCCTGCTGCAGCAAAACCAACTATCAGCTTATTCTGTGACCATTAGAAGCACTTACCATTTAGCATGCTGCAGATTTAAGATCTAGAATCTATCTCATTTAAAACTTTATCTCATTACCATTATGATGTTTTCATACAGGTAGTCTCAAATACAGAAAATGAGTTTCTGGAAATGAGTCTTCTGATGTGAATAGTTCTGTATTTGCTAGTCAGAATTTGAAACAGATACTTTTCAGTAGTAAAGATAGATAGGCGTGGCCTGTTCTAGCCTGTCTCAGCTTAGCACCTGCCAGATATAATGGGATTACAACTGTCAGAATTATGCCAAACCATTATGCAGAGTTTGTACAATTATAACTAGTGCACCAGCAGTGACCATTCCTGAGTCAATCAGATTTGGTCATCATTATCCTTACTTTGGTTATATCCTGTGATGAGTACAGCAACACACTTTATATGATGCTACCCTTAAACATGTCTAGAAATTACAACTAGTGAAAAGTACAAGATTTACATAATGTCAGTAATGAAAGATCTTCAGTGGCTGTCAGTTTTTTTTTTTTCTGGACACAATTTAAGATGTTGAAGTTATTACTTATCTGGCAAGTGGGAGAGGTTCTTATCTTGTGTTATTCCCAAATCTGCATAGTCATGCATATTTCTAGACTTTTCACAGACTTGGTAGCTCTCCTTTGAACTTGCTCCAGTTTGTCACTATGTTTTTTGAGCGATGGTGCATGGAGTTGGACACAGAATTCCAAGTAGGGCCTGACCAGGGCAGAGTGGGGCAGAACAATTACTTCCATGAACTGTTACAGCAGGACAGCCTTGTTAGTCTATAATGGCAAAAAATCAAGAGTCTGGCAGCACCTTTCTGACTAAGACATTTTTATTAACAGCCAAAAGCTTTTGTGAGCTGCAGCTTCCTTCATCTGATGCACAGAGCAGCTAGAATGATGTAGGATTTAAAGTGTGGTGAGGTGGGTGGAAGGAAGGAAGGAAGGGAAGGGGGGGGAAGATAGGTTAGTTATGCAGATGTGAAGTGCGAGACAGGTTACAAGTACCTTAGCAATTAACAATTGTAATGCATTAAAAACTCATCGTGTTTGCTGAAACCTTCTGAAAGTGCCTGAAACCTTTTGATGTAAAATTTGATGTTCAACAATTTCTTGTTTGATGGTGCTGTTAAAGTCCTGCTTTCTTAAAATGGCCACTTAGAGGACTGTTATGGAGCATCCTGAGAGGTTGAAATAAAATTTGTTAGTTGGAAAAAGTACTGATTTTTTCCCCATGAGCTGGATTCTATGTTCCTGTTAAGGAACCCCTAGGTAGCATTTCCCTTGCCTATGTTGTCCAGTGATTCATTACAGATGCTCAGAGAGATTGCAATATCCCTGAATGGAACTCAGGATAGATTGTTTCTTGCTCTTCACTTATTGGCTAAGCTTACCAAAGTAATTATATTTCTGTTCTTTCTTTTTTGGCTAAGTCCTTACCTGTCACAACCAGAGCAGAGAAAGATGAGAAAACTAAATACCAGAAGCATTGCCATGGCTCCCAAGCTTCCCCATACAATGACATGAAGCACTCCAGTACTTAGGAAACTTCCATCAGGTCCCATGACGTAAAAAGGATGTGATGATATGAATGGTTGACTTGATTACCCACGATAAGACTTGGGCATTTTATCTGAAAGAGTGTCTCTGTAGGGAGAGAAAAAGTGGGGGAGGGGAGAGGAAGCAATTTAAATACACCATATATAGCAAGTTGTCATAACAGTGAAAATTAAACTTTTAATTTTGCTTTAATAATGTGTTTTAAAATTTCAGTGTATTAATCATTATTACATATTAGAGCTCAATTTTAAATCAAGACTTAATCTAATTAAAATGGAAGCTATCCTGAAGCTTACAACAAATGTGATTACGTAGTATTAAGAGAACGGCAGTTTTCGCAAGCTCAGAAGCAATTTTTATTAGTTTAGCACTTGTTCCAATATTGAAATCTAAAATTGCCCAATTTAGATAGGGATTATTTAACACATTTCTGTACTATGGACCCCCTATTCATTTTAGCATAATAAATACGTAAATTATTCAGGAAAAGTTATGGAACTCTTAATGAACATTGAAAGACCCCTTTTTCCTGACCTACGTTCATTTCCCTTTTCCTACTGGCCCCACCTGGCCACTGTGACTAGTTTGCATAGCGAGTCATTTGTGCAGCATGTTGCCCACAAAATGGCTCAGATTTGCCACAGACTTCACTGTTCATGGACAGAATCTTTGGTGGCGGCTGGGCTCTTGACATATGCCCTTTTAGCTTGTGAATTCTGAAGAAATGGATAGAGGCTCTCCAAGTTATCCTCTGCCACTTGCAGGCTTGACCCTTGCTGTGGTGGTTCCTTTGTGGGGTCAGGGGTGATGTGATGACCTGGATCCAGGAGACTGCCTCTCTATGGGAGGCAGGTTTTCAAGCAGCCCTGAAAGTGGCAGTGGTGTGGTCCTCCTGAAGATATCCTTCTTTGATCCAAGGGCCTTTGATAACTATTCCTCAGTCTCTAACTTTCCCTTTTGGGAAAAGGTTGTTGAGATGGTGATGGCAGACCAACTACCGGGTATGCAAAATAAAGCGGAATATCTGGACCTTTTGCCATCAAGGTTCAGGGCCAGGTGGGGGATGGAAATGGCACTGGATGCTCTTCCTGATAACCACTATTGGGACCTGGATGAAGGGACTATGCTCTCCTTGTTGCTTTAGGTCTCTTGACCATGGTTACCTTATTGAATAATCTTATGTGGTTGGGGATTGGAGAGACTTTTTGCAGTATTTCTGCTCCTTCCTCAGTTGGTAGGTTCAATCAGTTGTAGTGGGGAAGGAGAGGACTGCATGGTGAATCCTGCTTGATAGATTCCAATTGCTATTTTATTGTTTTATTTTTATACCTATTGTGGATGTTTTAAATTGTTTTCCTTAATTTCATGTAACAAGGGGATATTTTAAAAGGCAACATTTGTTCCAATCTTGGGCACACGGTGGCAGAAGTGGACTATTGTTTTCTCCTGGCACTTGAAAGCTATTACACTTTCATGTATTGCCAATCAACTCTTATTTTAAGCCACTGAATAGTTTGCAGCTGCAATAAAATTTCACAGGAATGTTATTATTCAATTGTAATCCATCAAAGTTAAATTACTAATTACTAAACATTTTCACATTTACATTTTCTTGGATTAGCGATTCTTACAACTATAGAAATCACACAACAGATACCAAAATGTATTTTTCATATTACTTCTGACAACAGTTTCTACAGTCACTTCAGACACAAAGGCAAATATGATTTTAGCCCATTCTTTATATCCTGCCACTTATGGAGAACAAGAAATGAAATGTGTCTGACCATAAATTTTTAGAGAGTGTCATGAAGTCCACACACTTGAAGAGAGTGAATAAGTATCTCTAATAACCAGCCATAAAATGACTTTTCTACAATCAAATCATGTTGAAAATATATCTTGGTCACAGCTCCATTAAGAATTCTTCCTAGAATACAGGCAAACAAGATCTCATCAATACAAATGTTGGGCTTTGTGGAGTCCATTGGCTTAGAATAGAATAGTCCTTTATTTGAGGAGCAGCAAGATTTACATTCAATGCTAAAATTAAAGCCATCCCATTATTTTATTTTATTTTATTTTATTTTATTTTATTTTTATCTTTCTTTCTTTCTTTCTTTTTCTTTCTCTATCTATCTATCTATCTATCTATCTATCTAT